GCTCTCACAGCTCTGCTTTCATAGATCAGCTCTCATAGATCAGCTCTCATAGATCAGCTCTCACAGCTCTGCTTTCATAGATCAGCTCTCATAGATCAGCTCTCATAGATCTGCTCTCACAGCTCTGCTCTCATAGATCAGCTCTCATAGATCAGCTCTCATAGATCTGCTTCTTCTCTCTAGATCTTCTAATGATGGAAGAGCAGAACTTCATGATGTTTTTTTCATTGATTTGATGTTAAATCATAATTATTTCATTTCTAACATGAAGGAATATCCTAAAGGTGCAACCAGAGGGCCCCCTCACAGCTGGGGCCCCTAACCAGCAGGCCCCCTTACAGCTGGGGCCCCTAACCAGCAGGCCCCCTCACAGCTGGGGCCCCAAATCAGCAGGCCCCCTCAGAGCTGGGGCCCCTAACCAGCAGGCCTCCTCACAGGTGGGGCCCCCTAACCCAACACATATGTGACGAGTTGGGAGTGAGACTGTGTTGAACCAGCAGGCCCCCTCAGAGCTGGGGCCCCTAACACAGCAGGCCTCCTCACATGTGGGGCTCCTGCTGGTTTCGGGAACCCAAGAAGTGATCTCCTTTCCCTGTAAGTCCGCCCCTGGGCTCCACGCAGCTCCACGCAGCTCAGATTTTTCACAGACTCCACCGTGCACGCACTTGGCTCCTGTTCAAGCGCGCCCCCGTCACATTCCGTCACTGATTGACCAACAGGAACACGCCCATCGCGGCGGCCAGTGCGCATGCGCTGAAACAGCAGCGTGTAAAACTTTGCAGCAGTTGGTGAAGTTTAGAAGCTGCTGCTCCTCTGGTGGAGGAGAAGCTCTCTAGATCCTCCAGGAGAAGCTCCTCACAGACCCAGCAGCTGCTCCACTGGCCGCCCTGCGCTGCCCCTCCCCCGGCATGAAGATCCAGTTCGCCCCGCTGAACGTGCCGCTGCAGAGGAGGCTGCAGACCGCCGCGGTGCTGCAGTGGCTCTTCTCCTTCCTGGCTCTGGGTGAGAGGTTCTGATTCTGCCTGGAGGTTCTGCTCGGTCCACCAGCTTCCTGCTGGATCCAGAACAGGAACCAACTCCTTAGAAAGCCTTTAGATCAGGTACCAGAGAGATCATCACAATCTGAGGAGGTTCTATGGACTCCAGGAGATCATCTACAGACCCAACA